CTAATGAATTTGGTATGGGTGCTTGAGGTGCTGTCTATCTACATTGCAAACATGTCAAAGGTGGCATGAAACGATGCGTTGCTTGAAAACTGGTGACCTAGTCCTAGTGGCAGACGTACGCACATCAAGTGGTATGTGGCCCAAGGGCGTTGTTGAAGAGGCGAAGATCGGGCGCAACGGACTTGTTCGAGAAGTGATTGTTCAAACAAACAGAGGAAGAATAAGATGGGGTGTGACATACGTCTAGTTACTGGAAAAGACGCTCAAATGAAGAGGCTGGAAACGAAGCCGAAGACCCCGGGAAGTGTGAATTTTAATTCACGAAGCTGAATAATAGTACTGACAGTTTATGAGTAGTGCACTGTTGTTTAACATTTCATCACGCCACGCATTTCCTTCATCCTAGGATAATTTGTCCATTGACGGACGTTGGTTTGCCACTGATAACTATCCGAACGAACTAACTGACATTCATTTAGATATTTTAAGTTTATTTATACAACATTTCGCCTTTTAACCATAACGGTAGCCCGAGTGTTTACAGTCCTTCGTTGTATCACTACGTTTACTGAGACTCCATTACTGCTGCCGTCCGAACCTGACTGGATTTATTACTTATGAGTAGAAGGATTTTGGCGTTTTTTTCCGGATTGGTAGTTATCTCGATCGTCGGCTAATTGTGACGTTTACATTACATCCGTTTGCTAGTCTATTCACCTATTCGTAAATCGACTCTGTATCTTTGATTATAAATGCTAGTAGAACCATGGTTTATAGTCGAATTATTCCGCCCACTGCCCACGTATTTTACCGCCCAGATCGTGCCTACGTTTGGTGATTAGGCTTGTCAGTCGGCAGTATCGGTCGCAACTACGATGACAGAATTGCTCCCTGCAGAACCCGTATTTGTGATTAGAGGCGAGTAGCTTCTGTCTCCAAATCGGGTAACCTGAGTGTTACCGGTAAAATAATTCCTCAAAAATAGACGATGGAAGTATATATTCCAGCACCGAGATATTTTAACAGCAATTCTCTGTTTACGCAGCCGAATGCATTGTTGTAGTCTAAAAACAGACTTCTCCAAGGATGACAGAATCGAGTGCACAAGACACACTGCTGCGTCTTATGTTGACCTCGAACTGAGATGGGCAAATTAATGAGGATCATTTTACTTGTTGTGTCAGAATCCTCACAAGAATAATATTTTCGAACGCGTTTAAGGCTACTGAAGTACGAGCAGTTACTCGATGTTTGCTTTAACCGTTTTTTGATATTGGTGTGATATTTCTGCCTCTCCAGCTGCCGGCAATTTTCTGTTTTTGTATGCATACTATGTATGAAATAGACAGTTTGGTCAGGAAGTCAACACATTCCTTGAGGATCACGGGTGACAGTGTCTGGACTAGTTGCTTTCCCAGAGTGAAGCTGTTTCAGCAACTTGTATACAATGCTGTTGTGGACATGGGGCAGTGAGTGTGCAGATAATTTAGGCTAAGCTAAGGATGAGTCAGGGATTGGATTGTTGTAACAATTGCATATGTCATTGTTCAGTTTCTCCACATCTACCTCGGAGGTTGGTGTACGTCGATTAATCCCGCTTAGTTGTTTTGACATCATCCCGAGTTCACGGCAGCTACTATTCCCAAGTATAGCCTGAACGTACACGTTGTTGAGACGGCGCAAATTCTCCTTTATAAGAACAGATAGTGACTTTACCAAAATATCGTCTTTACCTTTGAAAGCTTTTTCTTTTTGTCTACTTAGCCGCTTTAGTTGAAGAGAAGAGACTGTCCGTACGGATGAACAGAGTTTCACATGAACTGCAACTAATAAAACAATGTTCATGTAATTTGTTAACTAATAGCAATATATGGATACATCAGTGTTAACAAATAAACTGAGGTCGTTGCTCGCAGTCGGTCAACATTCTGCGCGGAACACTGCCTCCATTTGAGCTTGCGTTCGTTGCAACAAGTAGTCACCTTATGGTTTGTCTTAGAGTAGACCACAGGACACAGTTTATTTTTTGCATCATCAGAACTAACTAAAGGCGACCTATTACACACGGGAAACAGCTTCACGTAGTTAACAAATGCCAGGCGCAGTCGCATTGGATCTGGTGGGGCAATTTACGATGTTTTGTAACCCAAGACTTGTGAGAAACGCGGTGTCAAATCGGTTAAACTCACCAGTAAAAATGCATAGTGAACAATCAGTGCGTTTTATTACAGCCACATTAAACTAATCGTAAAATGCCTCTGCTTCTAGTTTCGGACAGTTAGGAGAAATATAGATGTTAGCCAGTAAAATTGTGCGGTACGCACTGATACATCTCAGCTTGCACCTCAGAACTAAGTTGGGAAGAGAAACAAAACAACCAGTAAGTGTTGGTGTAAATGATGACTCAACTTCCACAATTACGGGAGGTGCAAGTGTGTTCGTTCCGATGACGTTTGAACCCTCCTGTGGATACAAGTGCGTCATCCCCCTATTCGTGAAGCCAGATCTCTGGTAGCAAAACGATGCCTAACTGCGAATATTCCCGGGAGTTGATGTTGCTTCTTAGTCCATCCATTTTCACTAAAAGTGTAGGGATGTTTGAAGTACTTAAAATCGTTAAGCTCATGCTCCCTATCTTTTTCTTCCGAAGAGTAACCTTCCATCCAGCACGGTGTTTACTTGCAAAGTTGTTGCGCTTCTTGTAAATTCCTTTCAATTTGTTCCTTATAACATGGCTGTTGATAAAGGCACAGCTGGTGAGCGCCGAAACACGTAACAATTTTAAAATATCACGCATATAGGTCATAATAATAACCATTATCGCAAATAAAACGAAGCAAAACGTGGTGTTTGTTATGACATCAAGTGTATGTTAGAAATTCCACAGAAAGGAGTCGTAAAGCATGGCCAAGTTTGTAGGAACCTCCATAACGGTTAACAACTACAGTTTAAAGGCGAGGCGCCTTGTTATTATCTCCGTGCACATCCCAATCGACTGCAGCTGAGCCATCGAAGAAACGTTCTATGAACTACTGTGGTTCCTTGCTCATTCGATCAAAACCGCCACGGCGATACTGTCTGTATTTTTTTCTTATCTGCTCTGGTTAACTTAATGCTGCTCTCCCCATTGGGAACGAAACCCAGTGTAAGCTCAATGCACCCGTCTAACACAAACTGCACTTCTATTGCTCGAGTCGCAAATTGGCTTAACTTACGAGTCAGTCGCGCCTGTTCTCGACGCACGCACGAATGGCTGGTGTGTACCAATACTGCCCTTTTGTGCAGGGCTAGTATTGAAACCTGCCGCGTGAAAGATTCAAATACCGACCGCGAATGAAATAGATTATGTAGTCGTAAAACGCCATATCTTGTTGTAAATGAGTACTTTTTCTTCATGTAACCGCTATCTGCAATTTAGTACAATCTGTGCGCGAATAGGGCAATACAATGCTCGTTTGCACTGAATGTAAATGGTAAGCGGATGTTTCTACCTATAGTTGCACTTAACCTGCTCTCTAAAATCTGAAATTACTGACGAAACCGGAGCAACCGTTCACTAAAACAAAAGTCTGTGAATCTCCGTAATTAGAGAATAAGTTGCTATATTTTGGAAACTATTCAAGCACTCCGCGTCTTTGGATATGCTTAGAGGCGATCGATAATTCATCATCCCTTGAGGGTTTGAAAACAGATGATTCGTCCAGTTTGCACACTTTGTATTTCAGCCTGTATATCTCGTCAGCACTTCCTTCGGGCATGTACGTCGGCATCGGAATGACATTCAGTTCGTGTGCTTGCAGTCCGCTTCTGGTATTGCCTCCCTGTTTCTACCACTCAAACCGACTAGTTCTGACTCGTGTAACGGAAATGAGAATAGACTTGCTGTTAGTGTCACAAAATCGTCTCCAGAATGCTCCGTGACAGTTTAGCGATGTTTTTCGCAACCATGCCGAATCTCCATGTTTGTTTTAATGGGTCCTGTGACGTTTAGTTGAGGCGATTATCCCGCGGTAGAACTCGGGGGCATGCCACTACGCATCAGCCATGCTGGAACTCTCGTATTTACTTCTGTTAACTACTGATGTGGCTACTTTTCGGATATTAGTAGTGAGCAATATAACAATTAATATTTCTCCTATCCTATTTTGACCCCTATATTGGCGTCTTTGGCGAACCGTTTCCGTTGTTCACAACTAAATAAATAAATAAATAAATAGTTTGTTCTCGACTATGCGAGGCACGATTTTAAACATATGTTTCATAGAGCGACATTTTTAATAGGTCGTTAGAAACTATCTTGAGAATTTAGTTCGGTTGAGGTAACATTCTGTTTTTGCCTGCAAATTGACGCTTGCGCCCATGGCCGTTGGAACTAATTTGCTACCAACCATCCTAGCCTACGGTTTTCACGGTAGTTTGACCTGCCACCACGGATGCTGTATCGTGTGTTCTATCGAAATCTGTGAAGTCGCTAACGTGAGTTGCATGGCTGATCAAATTATTTTTCGTTCTTTAGTTCAGCACACACTAGGGACGTCAAACAACCAGCACATATCTACCATTATCTATGCAGTCTGCGTCAATGCACTTTTCTCTCAGCCTATCGATTCTAGTTGACAGTAACTAGTGTCTCGCTTGGTGATAGCCACTATTTTTCTCATTTACTGTACTATATATTGCGTACTGCCTACTTGGGAGCAGAATAGTTGGAAATTTTCTCGTTTATTTTTTTACATCACCTTATCCCTCTCATTTTGAATACCCATTATGGTTAATGAAATATTCACCGGGGGTGCTGCAGGACGTTGTATTGCTTATAAGGGGACGGATTTTATTGCGGACACTGTTATTTTACTGGCACTGAGGCCCCTTTGTTCGTGCCCAGCTTCATTTATTTTTTATCGTGTCACCGGAATAGTCCGGAGTTAGCTATTAGATCTCTACTGCTGAGTCCTTAACTCCACTTCCTTTTCCTCTGTTACTATTGCATTCGTCTGTAGAGCTTCGAGGAAATCGATCTGCTCACTCGACAGCCACTTGGTAAACCGAGTTTTGTTGCCTCAGAAAGTGCGTCACCAACCACTCTTTCACCTGCACTCGCGGATCCCTTTACTGCGCTCTCCGGTTCGGAAGATGGTTGGGAGGTGTGCACTAGCTTATCTGCAGCCACGAAGTATTATGGATTTGAACATACATCTAGTGCATCTTGGCGAAATTGTCCTTGTCCTTGTCACCCAAACTCGATGATGGCCACCTCTGGCAAGTCCAGTAAGGCCGGCTCCAGGCACTGCATCTCATGCAGTTTGAGAGTGAGTTTCCACTTTCCGTTTCATCTTTAACATTTACAGGTTGATTTTGTCCACAAATTGAGCCGTCTCTATTCAGTCCATTACCACGAACTGTCGCATTTTTTCACTCTAAGTGGTAGACATTGTTGCCACGTCTGAACCGCTTCCTTTTCAAGACTCTATCTCTTAGTATCATTGTGGTTAAGATACCTTTACCGCATACAGCACATAATGAGTAGCGATCATCCTTGGACAGATTTGAGTTTACGGGGGGGGGCACGGAAAAGGATATTTTACAGTACGTAAAAGGGATGGACGTTCATACCATTTTTCAAGACCTGGCATAGGATTGAGTCTCGTTGTTCAACTTTCGCTATCCAATAATATGTTTGCTTTATGAGAACTGGTCGCTTGAGTACGTCAGGCGCAAACCTCAGCTGTGGCCCTTAGCTTTATATCCTTGTTTGCGGAAGTTCCATCTTGCCTGGGGGAATGTGCAGCACTGGCAAGCACTGTGAGTCACGGTAAGTAGGCGACGTCTCGCAAACACGCATTTCATGCCACATCGCTGGTATTGTGGACGATAGCCCACGCTTGTAACCGGCGACTAGCGTCATTAAACAGACAAGAAAACGGTTTGAAAAAACGGAAGGCTCACTCATATGTCCGGATTAAACCGGTGCTCTTTAATCAAAGGCAGCCATTAGTCAGCTTTAGGCTACCTCAGACTTGAGGGCGAGATTTTCTTTGCTTCCAATCATGACCGGTTACAACTGCGAGTTATCGTTCACAGCAAAGACGACACAATCCTGATCGCAAGCACCTATCGGACTTCCTCCTTTTTATGCTTGTCTAGGTCCTGAAAAGGCAAAGCGACCGCTTCATCAACTCCAGTTATCCTGAGCTCCATTTATTTGCTAGTGTTCTCTGTGGCTATATTCACTTAACACTTGCTTCCAAGGAGTACACCTTCCTCCCTCTCTTTAACCTGCACATCCAACAACCATCGAATGTTCTGTTCGTTCGCGTTCTCACAACTTTATTCGGTGAAATATAGGAGGGAACGTATCGAGTGACATTCGTAGCCCCTTCCGAATTAGTGTTGGTGCACACATGCAGAGCTACTAGCTGCAATTTCACCGGTTCCAATTGCGCGCTACTGCGACACTACTTTTCGCTTTTTTACGTTCGGCTCAGCTACAGGGCTATCGCATGGCTACCAATGCACCTCAATTTACCACACCCATTATGACAAAATCAAATCCAGGGCAGTCGGATTGATTGCCTCAAGAGTTTCTGTGCACATGGCACTGGTTGATAGGCCCTAATTAGCAACGCTTCACTGATTGCCAACATTATCGGATTCCGGCTACGTAATAGCACTTTGAACGCAGTCTTGCGGTCCACATTGTGACCAGTTGTCACGAGGCGCTTGGTGATAGATGAGGACAAAATCCGGTTCATTCTGGGAGGCGCTACATTATGTTGCGTCATCATTTGCTCCACCCACTTTGGCAAGTGTTCAGCCACCCTCTGAGTCAACCGACGGTTAGTCCTGCCTACGTAAACGTCACTGCAACTGCAGCTGAACTGATAAACCCCAAGAGAGGCCGAACTTTCCGAAGAGTAGCTTTGACGGTCATGAAGAACAAGTTTCCGAGTCGTGTGCATGAGGCGCAACTGGGCAGTCGTATACGTGCGCGTTAGAGTGGACCTGAGCTTGTGTCCGATGTCGTTTGCCACATGGTCTCCCTTGAAGGGCATGAATAGATAAACAGCTTTTTTCTCTGCCGTTAGCACCGGCAGTTTCTTTTTGGAGAGTCTGTTGTGCACTTGGATGAACTTTTCAGGATAACCATTTGACACCAAGGTCCTATGCAGAAAGTTCTCTTCGGCTTCTAGTGTATCCGGACTACAAATACGTCTGGCCCTGTAGAATAGCACTTTCACTAGGCCGCGTTTGTATGCAACCGGGGCAAAACTGGAAACGTGAAGATACTGTCCACTCCAGGTTGTCTTGCAGCAAACGGTGCGCTGCAATGTACCTCCGTCCCGCCTATTAGTTAGGATATACAGAAATGCCAGGGAGCCGTGTTGCTCCATCTCGTGGGAGACTGATAAGTTGGGGTAAATTGAATTTAAAGTGGTTAACAGGCGAGTAGAATGTTCGCTGTTGGTGAACACCAGAATGTCATCCACATACCTTTTGTATAACCTCGCTTCACCAATACTGGCAGCGACTTGCCTTTCGATCAAGCCGAGAAAGATATCTGCCAAGACCGGTCCCAGAGAGCTACCCATGGCGACTCCGTCGATCTGCTTGTATGCTGTCCCCTCAAACTCGAAACGTACATTCTCTGTACACAGTAGAATCATATCCCGCAAATATTCCACAGGGGGACCTACATACATGTTTTCACTCAAGATGTAATGACACAAATCATCTACTGTTTCTTGAAGTGACACTTCTGTGAATAGAGAGTCCACGTCAATACTTCCGAACCCAGTGAGAATTGTTCTAACGTCTCCTCTAGTTTGAAAGATTCATTTGAACTAGCGGTTCGGAAGTACTGTACTCTATTGACGTGGACTCTCTATTCACAGACGTGCCACTTCAAGAAACAGTAGATGATTTGTGTCATTTCATGCCCTTCAAGGGAGACCATGTGGCAAACGACATCGGACACAAGCTCAGGTCCACTCTAACGCGCACGTATACGACTGCCCAGTTGCGCCTCATGCACACGACTCGGAAACTTGTTCTTCATGACCGTCAAAGCTACTCTTCGGAAAGTTCGGCCTCTCTTGGGGTTTATCAGTTCAGCTGCAGTTGCAGTGACGTTTACGTAGGCAGGATTAACCGTCGGTTGACTCAGAGGGTGGCTGAACACTTGCCAAAGTGGGTGGAGCAAATGATGACGCAACATAATGTAGCGCCTCCCAGAATGAACCGGATTTTGTCCTCATCTATCACCAAGCGCCTCGTGACAACTGGTCACAATGTGGACCGCAAGACTGCGTTCAAAGTGCTATTACGTAGCCGGAATCCGATAATGTTGGCAATCAGTGAAGCGTTGCTAATTAGGGCCTATCAACCAGTGCCATGTGCACAGAAACTCTTGAGGCAATCAATCCGATTGCGTTGGACTTGATTTTTACGTTTTGATTGGTTAGCCAATTTTTTCCCTCACCCATTATCCCCGCATAGCTGTGGAAAACACTGGTCGCCTTTTTCTCCCCTCCCTAAGTGCAATAAATATGCTTGAGATACTAACACTGAAAATGATATTTGAATCACAGAATGTTTTTCTGTAGGAGAACCTCATCGTTTGCCTGGCATGTGTTTACCGTGCGGGCAATCACCGTTGGCAATGTTGTGCTCGGACGAGAGCCAGTAAAACTGATATTCCTCATCATTAACACAACAGGGACCTTGCCAATCAACTAATGCACTGCTGCCACTCCCCAGATGTGACCGTCTGACTTAGCGGTCAGCATAACGAACTTGTCTGAAAGTCAGTGTACAGCAATGCTTTTCATAAGCTTATTCATGTCAGAGGAATACAGATCTTCTTTTGCATATATTTGAAGACAATTCGTTATCGGGGGCCATAATTCTTATTCCACGACAATGTGGAAAAAAATTCGGGAGATTGGGCAAACCTGACGAACGCAACTTTTTGTCGGGAAGATATCTGTTTATACACTGTAGACCCTGACGCAGTCTGTCGTGTTCTACTATAAAGCCCGTAAAAAGTTCAGGTATTTCGTGGGAACACCTTTCCGCTTAAGTATTTTGAACAGAATGCATCGATCGACTGAATCGAACGCAGCTATTGTCAGTCTGTGGTATGCCTGGCGCTGCTCTAGCACCTACCACACAGAGAATATGTGATCTATACAACCCCGTCCTGAGCGAAAACCTGCCTACTCTTCCCTAATCCAAGATTCCCTTTCCGTTGTAAGGCGACAGAGAAGAATTGAGGCCAGTAATTTTGTCACAACTGGTCTTAGGCTAATACCCCTGTGGTTAGAACAGTCAGTGCGACTGCCCTACTTGTCTATTACCACTATAATCCATTTACTAGTTAGTCGGGATTGTCTATTCTTCCATACCTATTAGAACGGTAGGTCAGTGCTTTGCAGAGGACGTCACCTCCATCTTTAAATAGTGCAGGTGGGAGGGAATCCGGGCCAGCAGCACTAAAGCGATTGAGGGCTGTGATCGCATTTCAGACCTCGGCCTCCGACGGAGGCTCTAACCTAACCGTCCATGGCTCACTCTGTATTACCTGAATAGGAAGTGGTCCTGGAGCAGGGGGCCAGCTGAAATGATCTAGAAAGTGTTCCGCCCAACCATCCATTCGGCGCTCCTTATTGTGTATCAGTGCACCTGCGCTGTCTCTAATTGTCTCACTGACGCCTGGTTTTCTGGGACCAGTGGTGTGGATCAGCTGGAAGAGCTTGCGCAATTGCCTACTGCTCCTGCCTTCTCCATTTCTTGAGCCCGACTGGTCCACCAGGCTTTCTTGTCAGCACGTAGGCTCCGCTTTATTTCTCGCCTACTAGTCCGTCCGGTCACATTGTTGTCAGAGCCAGCCGGGTGGTTTCTTCTGAACTCCAACAGGTACCACGACCTCCAGATATCCAGTGACTGGTGCGGTGACGATGGATAGTGCCACAAGCAGATGCTCTTGTGTCGTGCACGGCGGCCGAGATCCTATTCTACTGAAGCTCAGTCTCATTATGACAAGACAGCGAGTTAGGTATGCAGTGCAGCTTGTTAGGCTTGCCTGACCGAGGGCTGGGACAATTTCTCCGTTGCCAATCGTAGGGGAGGCTTGGTGCGCCTCCCGGTAAAGTTCATGGAGAAACGACAGCGTACCAAGGCATGATCAGAGTCGACGTAGGTATTCCAGTACGAGCGGCAGTCCAGGATGGAGCCACGCCACCTGTAACTTATGACTATGTGGTCGATTTGGGCCCATCATTTGCCAGCTACAAAAGGACGCCAGGTGACA